TAAATGAAAAGGTGTGTACGTGTCACCGTTAGTGACAGAACTGCCACTGAAGAAAAAGAAAACTGAGGTAAGTCATCATGTTCCCATTATTTTCAATAATTAAACCTTGTGATGTCCTCCTGATTGCCATACTCCTTTTGTCCTCTGGGGTAAACCGTCTGCTTTGACTGTTTATAAAGCATGAATTATAAATTATCATCCGTCTCCATGTTTCAATGTTTTATCAAACTGTATTCCAACTGATTACCTGAAATCTTTATGTGTTTTGACATTGTATTACACCTAGGCATGGGCCTTAGTGAACCCCCACTTTAATGCCAAAAAATGCATGTCCATAGGTGACATAAGTGCAGGAGGAAGCTCAGGTTTTTTGCTTTTTGCTGGTCACACCATGTACAGCTTTGTTTTCAGCAGTTGTAGGCCAAGGGCATATGAATTAAACAAGCTTTCAAGGCTGATTATTGTCTTTTGGAGACCTACTGTATTAAGCACAGCTCGCATGCCCTGACTGCAGGCAAGCAAGTTTGCAATCATACACTAGCATGTTCTCTGTACAGCTGGACCGGGCATCACATACTGCCCATGTTTTTATCTCATAGTTCCTCTGTTTACTTGGGACGTAATGTTGGACAGAGTCCTTTAAGGGGACTAGTCACTCATACACAGTCATATCAGTTCCTGTATGGTACACCAACAGCAGGACAGATGCTCACTCGTTACATACATCTCAAATCAGAACAAGTTTGTCTCATTCATGACCATATTCTTTTGTATATTATATTCTATTATATAAAGTCATTCAAAAATGTTATCTGTTAACAGATAAAAGGGAAGACCACTGTTCAAACCTTTAAACAGGAACAGCACAAACAATATGATGCTCATCAAAACCAGGTATTTTTAGAAATGTTTTTAATATCTACATTTATGTTTTTTGTGTTATTGTCATAAATGACTCTGAAAATTGACAAGTGTCTATGTTTGTAGGATGAGAGCCAGGAACAAATAGCCGTTTGCCCCAAAATAGCAACATACATGGCTAATAAAGCATTGGTCACAGTATGGAAAAGAGATTTATGTGCCTTCAAAGTGGATGCAATTGTTAATGCAGCTAATGAAAGTCTCTCTCACATGGGTGGACTTGCAAAGGCACTGTCTGCTACTGGAGGACATACTATCCAAGCAGAGAGTGATCTCTTCATTGCCAAAAATGGCAAATTAGAGGCTGGACAA